ACTTTAATTTTTTCACTGCTTAAATTTCAACAATTTAGACAATGGTCCCTCTTTTTGAATGTCCTATTAAAATTTAAATTTCAACAATTTAGACAATGGTCCCTCCTTTTGAAATATGTCCTACTAAAATTACAATAATTCAAACAATGACCCCGTGGACAAGTTCGTATTGAAGTAACATTCAATAATTCAAACAATGACTTCCATGGACAAGTCCTTGTCGCCATATGATAAGCACCCTTACTGGCACGCAATAGGCCAATGATGATCATCAACATCTAGTTTCAGATGCGTCTAAAATCTCAAACAACATGCATCGCTACTAAAAAAGGTTCTATAGAGGCGGATGGCTTAGCCGCCTATAATTTTCGCATCTGCGTGTCGATGATGATCATCAACAACAGCTAGTTTCAACATGCATCACTACTAGAAAAAGGTTATATAATTTTTTGCCTCTACAAATCAGAATGTTAAAGGCGACCGGAAGCCAGAGGCACCTCTGGTAATTGATTTTTAGCTCGAAATATAGTTGCCTCTACAAATCTTTCCCCAAAAATCATAAGTTTAGACAAAAAATAGCATTTTTTATCCGAAAAAAGACCCCACCAGGCAGCCCCCGAAACACACATCAAAACTTCCGATATATGTGGAACTTCTAATGTAGGACAACTGACTTCCTACACTTCCGATGGTCCAGCAAATTCCTAAGTCCTTATCCAACCTCCTCTGACCTTTTTTTTTGCTATTAGAGCATGACCAATGAAAGCATATAACTACAGTGGTCTCATTCACACATAATCAAAATGCATCTTAGACAACATCCTAACTTTCAAGCTCACCCATGTGCTAGACCACAACTTCTGCCCATGCTCAAACAAAACTGCAACAATTCTTTTCTCTCCCTCTCACAAGCCAACACTCTCCCTCCTGATGCATTCGGTGTCTCTGCAAGAACTATTGTCGTTCTGCAGGCTACTACTTTTTCATCGCTCTTCTCCATGGCATTTCTTATATGATATTGCATAATGAGGCCATCACCCATGCCGGAGCATTGGGGTTGGCCTTCACAATCTCAAACGGACCTATAGTCGTGACATCTTTTGATGAATTTCTGTTAGGTATGTACGAAAGGGACTGAATTGAAACTAAACTTAGCAAGGATATATCAACTGAAAGCCCCAGAGAAAGATTTTCTCGTAGGCGATTGAAGTCACTCTGAAAATGGGCATATGCTACCATCAAATGAACCGACATCAATCCGGCTCGGGCCCACAAGCCAGGGAGGAAATCTGGTCCAAAATCCCCATAGCTGGCTAGCTGCCTAGAAGTCGGCTTTCGATTTCGATGATTTCTTCTTGTCCGCCTGTCCCGGCGAATCGCCGCCATGCCGCGCCCGACGGCCTCCTCCTCCTTCGCAAGGTGCCGGGCACAGCCACGGCCAGCGGCCAAATCTGAGCTGGGTTCCGACCCCTCCTCATCCTCGGCAGCGGCGGATTCCTCCATGGCGTCCCTAATCGAGTGCGCCACCTCCACCATGGCGCCCGCCATCGACCCGGTCCTCCTCCGCGCCATCAAATCCTCGGCCCGTGCCTCCGATGCCGCCATCCGGGACGCGTTCCGCCTCATCCTCTGGTAAAGGCGACCGAAAGTCGGAGGCACCTCTGGTAATTGATTTTTAGCTCGAAATATAGTTGCCTCTACAAATCTTTCCCCAAAAATCATAAGTTTAGACCAAAAAATAGCATTTTTTTTATCCGCAAAGACCCCACCAAGCAGCCCCCGGAACACACATAAGAACTTCTGATATATGTGGAACTTCTAATGTAGGGCAACTGACTTCCTACACTTTCGATGGTCCAGCAAATTCTTAAGTCCTTATCCAACCTCCTCTGACCTTTTTTTTGTGCTATTAGAGCATGACCAATGAAAGCATATAACTATAGTGGTCTCATTCACACATAATCAAAATGCATCTTAGACAACATCCTAACTTTCAAGCTCACAGCGTAGGCACCCATGTGCTGGACCACAACTTCTGCCCATGCTCAAACAAAACTGCAACAATTCTTTTCTCTCCCTCTCACAAGCCAACACTCTCTCTCCTGATGCATTCGGTGTCTGCAAGAACTATTGTCATTCTGCAGGCAACTACTTTTTCATTGCTCTTCTCCATGGCATTTGTTATATGATAGGGAGAATTATTTATTTGGCACCGAAACAAATCAGTGTTTCGTATTTGGCACTCGAAAATTTGAACTTTCTTACCTGGCATCAAGTTGAAATTTCCTTTCGTAAATGGCACTGCCGTCCATTTAGGACAGTAACGGTGTCAAGTGACTGGTAAAAAGACATAAATACCCTTGTTTTGCAGCAGAAATCCACGGTGGCAAATAGGGAAGTTCAAGTATTTTCGTATGGACGATATTGTCGGAGCTCTTGCGCAGCAGCTCTGCCGCATCGCCTGGCGGGCGACCCGACGATAGGCCCTGCATACAACGTCCCCGCGCCGCCGCCGCTTCTACCGATCGAAGGAGGCGGGGCGATGGCGTGTCGTCGCTCCCAGGAGCGCCTAGCTTCGCTTTGCCGCAACCTCGCTAGTGCTGCTACCGGGTCATCGTGGTCTCCGCGTGCGCTGCTTCGCCCATTCCGTCTGCGAGGTCTGCCCGCACCACACGCGCCCACCATGCACCGCGCCCGTTAGCCTTGACGCGAAGCTCCCAGCTTCATTTGCCGCGCGCGAGGTCCGCTCGTCTTGCTCCCGTCTGAGGTCTTCCGTCGTTGTCGTGGCCTCGCCGTGAGCCGCTCCGCCACTTTCGCCGGTCGTCGGCTGGACTGTGCGCCGCTTGCCGCCGCCATCCGGCGCCACTTCGTAGCTCGCTTTTGCCACGTGTTCGGTGCTGCCCTACACGCGTCGCAGCTTCGTCGCTTGTCGCGGCCTCGGGATGGCGGCGGTTGCATGGGCGGCGTGGTGATCGCCGGTAACACACGCCTCCTGGTACACCACGTACAAGGCTCACTACAGGAAGCCGAGTGCATGAGGGTGGAGATGGAGGAGCTCTTCACGCCCTCTGGCGTCGGCGTCGTCTTCACCGCCATGTAAGCCTTGCCCTTGCGCCTCTCGATGGTGAAAGAACGATTGAACACGGTGGTTTGTGATCGATGTCCAACAGGTGCACGCGTGCAAGAGGTCGGTCGAACCGGGTATTCAACTACTGCCACATGTACATCTCGGTGGGCGGCGGCAACAATCGAGAAGATGGCGACGACGACGCGCGACGACCGGGCCACGCTGCGGACCAGCGTCGACGCCGGACCCCTTCATAGGCGGCGTCTCTGCGCGACCAACTTCATGACGGGCCCCGCCATGGCGCTTCTGCTGGGACCACCACCGGACTACAGCGCGTCTGGAGAGCAAGCTTGAGCACGCAGCGTGTTGGAGGTGAAGAACGACACGCGCCGCGCTCTGGCGGTGGCACGCAACCAGGACCTCAACGCCGACGTTGCCGCCGACGAGGTCTACATCGTCAGGGAGCCCGACAAGTGCCTCGGGGATGGCGTGGGAGTCTTCTGTGTTTCGTATTTGGCGTGGGAGCCCGACAAGTACACCGACGAGAAGGCAGCGAAGCGAGCTGCCGAAGCCGCCGCCGCTCGTCTCGCGTCACGGGGCGAGGCGCTGGCTATCAGCAGCAGATGGTGGTCGGCCTCGCCCTCGGCTGGCCATGGCAACGGCGAGCGCGTGCGCCCGGAGCTCCACTCCGCCATGGCCGCGCGAAGGTGAGCATGGCCTACATGAGCACGCCTCGGAGCGCGCCGACGCTGGCCCCAGCATGGGTACGCGGCTCGTCGAGCAAGGCCGGGGGCGGCCTCCCGCGGGGTGGCCTGCTCGCATCCCGTGGTGGTAGGAGAGTCGGGGATGCTGCGTGGTGGTGAGCTCGGACACGCCGTGGAGGCCGGCGATGGACTGCGTTGTGGACCTCGTGGAGACCGGCGCCACCGTCATCAGGCCGGGCTCGGCGTTCCATGCGGACATGAGCGGGCCCAACCTCACCATGCGGCCGATGTCGGATCCGGATGCCGGGGCGGAGCTGGCGGAGTCGGACTTCCTGGCAAGCGTCATGCCGGTGACCGAGGCACTGGTGTTCATGTCCATTTCCTCGGGGCCGCTGGGGCTGATGGGGACAAAGGTGTACCCGGGCCAGCGCCCGGACACGGAGTAGTGGACAAGCGAGCGGAGCGCGGAAGCGCCGGCGGAGTTCTGGATGAGGTTGGAGGCGGCGGAGACGGAGACGGGCACGCCTCGGTCGAACTCGAGGGCGAAGTACACCATATTCGCGGCGGTGTCGACGGAGACGAGCACGTCCTGGTCAAACTCGTGGGCAGCCTCGTACAGTGCCCCGGATCTGGGATTTCGGGGCTCGGTTTCGGTTAAATTCTTAGTCTTACGTAAATAGAGGGGTACATTGGACAAATAGAGAAAAAACTAACAGTCAACTAACATATAAGCAATGAAAATGGACGGCAGTGCTAGAAAGAAAAATTTTGACTTTATGCCAAATAGAAAAGTTCAAATTTTTAAATGTAAAGTACGAAACACTGATTTATTTCGATGCCAAGTAATTAATTCTCTCTATATGATATGGCATAACGAGGCCACCACCCATGCTGGAGCATTGGGTCGGCCTTCACAGTCTCAAACGGACCTGTAGTCGTGACATCTTTCGATGGCTTTCCGTTAGTTATGTACGAACGGGACTGAATTGAAACTAAACTTAGCAACGATATATCAACTGAAAGCCCCGGAGAAAGATTTTCTGGTAGGCGATTGAAGTCACTCTGAAAATGGGGATATGCTACCATCGAATGAACCGACATCAATCCGGCTCGGGCCCACAAGCCAGGGAGGAAATCTGGTCCAAAATCCCCATAGCTCGCAACCTGCCCAGCACGGCTTTCGATTTCGACGATTTCTTCTTGTCCGCCTGTCCCGGCGAATCGCCGCCATGCCGCGCCCGACGGCCTCCTCCTCCTTCGCCAGGCGCCAGGCGCAGCCACGGCCAGCGGCCAAATCTGAGCTGGGTTCCGACCCCTCCTCATCCTCGGCAGCGGCGGATTCCTCCATGGCGTCCCTAATCGAGCGCGCCACCTCCACCACGGCGCCCGCCATCGACCCGGTCCTCCTCCGCGCCATCAAATCCTCGGCCCGTGCCTCCGATGCCGCCATCCGGGACGCGTTCCGCCTCATCCTCTCCCTCATGTCCAAGCCCCACTCCCACGTGCGTAAGCCTTCCAACACCTCCCTTCACCCTGCACCACCAATCCCCAATTTCACCAAACCCTAACGCTGTGATCCCCTCCTCGGTGCAGGTGCGGCTGCTCGCCTTCAGCATCGCCGACGAGCTCTTCATGCGCTCCAAGCTCTTCCGCTCCCTCCTTGCTGACTCGCTCGACGGCTTCCTCCCGCTCGCCGTCGGGTTCTGCCGAGCAAACCCGCTCCCGCCGCCGACCGCGTCCGCTGCCTTACTCCGGAAGTCCGCCGTCCAGGCTCTCGAGCGCTGGCACCATCTCTTTGGTGCGCACTACCGCCAGCTCCGCCTGGCCGTCGAGTACCTCAAGGAGTCCGCACGCGTCCATTTCTCTGGTCTACGGGCCACCGTTGATGCTCGTGCAGCTCGTGAGGCTCGCATGCAGGAGATCTATGCTGCCAAGGTTGAGCAATTGCGTGAAAATCTTGCGTCAATCAAGGAGGAAATTCGGTCCACCATGGACGAGATTCGCAATGGATTGGAGATGATCCGTGCTGAATATAAGAAATTTGAGGGTTATGTGAATGACGAGGATGCGGAGGAGGAGATTGCGGCCTTGTCAATGCGGAGCATTAGAATGGCATCTTTGATGGCTGGGGAGTGGGTGCCTGAGACTAAGGAGAATGAGGCAGTTTTTGATGCACTGAGGGAAGCACACCGGTTGCTTGTGTCAAAGCATTTGGTCACAATACAGGAGTGGATAACTGTGCTTGTGAGGGTTAACCTTCCAGACAACCGTTTCCGAGATACTGCATTGAAGGATTTCATTGATGTTAAGAATGAGATAAGGGCTGTGAGAGATCGTTGCAATGAGCTTGGTCTTTACTTTGATAATGTTCATAGGCGGAAGGGTGACCAAGAGGAAGAGGACAATGAGTTTTGGGTGGAGGGAAACATAGAGGCACCAAATCGTGCCGGAGTCCAGAGCAGCTTAGATGTTACGAGCACTAGCAAGGACACCGGGAAGGGGAAGGGGGTGGTGGGTGGAGTGTCTGACATTGGCAAGGCACCAGTTGCAGCTAATGTAACGAGAAATCTTGATCCAGAAAAATCAGAGCTCTTTGCTAAAGCCCCTGTGCTGCCATGGAGCTCTGTCTTGGATTGCTGGGGCTCAAGTGGGGATGTACACGTAAACCAGAGGGGGCTTGAGGTCGAGAGTCATTGGGGAAGAGTGGATAATGATGCCACTATACCTGCAGCAAAGATTGCAGAGTTGAATGTTCATTGCTCAATTTATAGAGAAGCCCCAGTTGAGATCCTACCATGTCATGCCCCTCTAAAAAAAGGAGGACTTTGCCAGAGAAGGGATCTTAAGGTATGTCCTTTCCATGGACCGATTGTCCCACGTGACGCAGAAGGAAATCCAGTTGAGCAGAACAGTGGTAGTTCTGATGCAGAAGTAAATCCTGTTGAGCAGTTAGACATAGGAGGACACTCAAATGATCTTAATGGAAACAGTGATGGTGATTATATGGAGGAAACCTCTTCAAGAATGACAGGTATCAATAATGATTATGGTGACATAGCTGGAACTCGTGATCTAGGTAAAATTACTGCAGAGCAGTTAGCAAGACAAGCAATTAAAAATGTCCGGAAAAGAGAAATGGATCGCAAGGCACAGGAAAGGGCCCAACGCACAAGAATCCGTCAGCACAATGAAGATGTTCTGCAAGATGCAGCTCTTGCTTCAACTTCCCGTTCTGCGGCAGCCTATGAGCAGCCTCCAGAAGCACAGGGTCGACGAGGACGCCGAGGTAAGGCAAAGGCACCAACGCTGGCATCAATGCTGAAAAAGAAAGTTACCACCAAAGACAGAATTGCAGAGAGGCTTCTGAACGCTCGAGCCACAGATGCCACAATAAGGGAGGTTTCTCATAATGAAGATATGAGCTACAGGGAAGCATTTCCAAATCAGTGGTAGCCGAAGCAGTTGAGTTGTTCTTGTATAGACTGGATAAACACGATAGGAATGAAATCAATGTTGTTTATTGGTTCATAATTATCAGCTAAATAATACGCATTCTGTTGCTACCTAGATCAGCCCAAAACTGTATGTTTTCTGATATTCTGTTCTTGTACAGTTGGCAGGATAAATTCCTTGTACATTTCCCAGTGTTCAGTCTTACTGTGTCTTTTCGAACTGATACTATTGCATTTCAAAGTGAACTTGTTTGTAAAACCTGTAAACCGTGCATTGTTAAGATGTACTCCACAGGTACCAAGTAATCAAATTAGCAATGGATTGAACAGCAGGCACTCAATGACTCCTCGTTATCAACTTCCAATTCATTCAGTGGCTTACCTTTTCTTTCCGATTTTGAATTATCTTACGTGCATTTACTGAACAAATTGATAACCTGGTGATGAAGCATGAGGAGTCTCCTAGCACTGCAGGAGAGGAAGACAGAGAAAATCAGAAATACCATTTCATTTCCCTTATGCTGAACCTGGTGAACACATTCCTTTACATGGTCAACACGTACTTTCTTTGATGCAGCACATGAACAAGGGTAGCGCAACACCCATTACATCATACCACTGTCCGTAGAACTGCGACCAAGAAAATGCGTTGTGGCACGACGTTATCCTTTCACCTCTAATGTTATTAAATCAGTTAATCGTCGCTAATCGCCCTAGTACTGATATGGACGATCAGGACGATTAATCGACGATAGGAATGATTAATTGACCTATTATCGGTCTAGTCGTCCATATAATCGTCCAGTATATATGTATATATGCACGGACGGACAGCTTGGATTGGAACCGGAAGGAAGAGAGGAGGGAGTGAGGATGGAGAAGAGTTGCAGCTCAGCAGCTGCACACATAGCAAGTGCAGCTGATGCCTGACAGCCGGAGAGTGGGGGGTGAGGACCGAGGAGGTGAGAGAAAGAGTGAGAGAGAGAGGTATAAAAGAGAAACCATAATGGGTCTAGCTCGAACAAATATAGCTCAGTAAGTTGAAGCAGCCCATCTGCCTATTTGATACTGATGGGTCAAGACACCTAATCGAACGATTTATCGCGATTAGTCGACGATAAATCAAACGATCAGGTTTCTGATCGCTCTGATCGAATCGGAGAGCCTAGTCAAGTGCTAGGTACCGATAAGGACAATTAATCGTGATTAATCGGATGATCAGATAACAGACTTGCTGATCGAAACGCAAGAAGCTAACAGACTTTAACAGAAGCGTCGAGCAGCGACTCATGGCCGTCGTCAACCTCCATCTCTCCACTTGGTCGCCAAGTTAGACGGCCCGCTGGTAATCTGCGGGTAACATACCTTTGCTAAATGAAACCATCCAATGCATTCAACTATCAAAAAATGAAAAACTGGTGCTAGTTAAGCTGGTAGCATATCTCTGCTAAATACAACCATCCAATGCATTCAACTATTCAAAATTGATAAAATTTTGGCTATGGATATTATTAGTTTCATTTTGATACAGAGTTACATAGATCAAACACTCATAAGCGTTGAATTTTGAGCCATCTAGCTTAATAATGCATTATTCTCTTGTACATCATATTCACATTACTCATAAGCGTTGAATTTTGAGCCATCTAGCTTAATAATGCATTATTCTCTTGTACATCATATCCACATTATGTAGAGAATTAGAGGTTTTGATAATGAACAGTGCCTTTCAGTGTGTAGTCATCAGTACAAGAAATAACCACTAGGAGGTAAGGACATATATCTTCTGGAACTCTGATCATGCCTATGGATGTAGTCAAATTTTGACAATCAACGCAACAAACCCATTTGCAGCAAACAATTTTAGTTCACTCTAAAATCTCGGCACTAGTGTAATTTTGTTCTGGGTAGGGAAAATTGAAGCTCAACATGATTAATTAGGGTAACACGATTCATTAGGGGCAGAGTTGTTGGATATAAGGAGTAATAAGACACAAGTAAAGGCATTTCAAAACTAGAGAGAGGCCAAAAGTTCAGTTAAATAAATAATGTAGTAGGTATTGCCGTGAGAAAAGCATGATAAACACGCAAACTACATGAATGTTGTGGTACACTATCATGACAAACTGAACTAGAAGAGCATGACATTTCACAAAAAAAAAAAAAATCAACCAAAAGGATGAAGAAAATTACATTCAGTTGAACAAGGATTAAAATGTGAATTGAACCCAGAAAAGTGATAAACACGCAAACTCCATGAATGTTGTGGTGCACTATCATGACAAACTGAACTAGAAGAGCATGACATTTCACAAAAAAAAAATCAACCAAAAGGATGAAGAAAATTACATTCAGTTGAACAAGGATTAAAATGTGAGTTGAACCCAGAAAAGTGTGATGCTGAATGCTATAACTCAGACGGGTTGTGAGCAATGCTATTAGATAATAAAGAAACTTATTAACTTAACAATAGCATGGAGAAAATGGATAGAACATAATCTCGCCAGCTTGCGAATCAATTCAAAGACTCAGATCTCAGACCTCAGATTCACTGTCATGGCAATCAAGAGTTTATACTAAGATTTATACTTTTAAGCATTATCCTTTATCCAGCAAAGGGTAAAAAAAAATACCTAGTTTTTCTGCTTTGGACTCAGCCAAAAGAATAAAAATAAAAATGATTGAATAGTTATACTCATGGGCAGGCTGTGACCAATGGCTTCAACTAGTGATTTATGACATCATGAATAAATCGCTTTTTTAATAAAAAATTTTAACCAGTAGGGGGTAACCCCTCCTATTGCCTAAAAAAAATTGCTTGTATGTTACACTGTTTGGAGCTCTAACGTAACACACACTAATAGTGGAAGAATATGAACCTTGACTTGTATGAGTTTTAATTAAGTTCTTGCATTAGAAGGTCCTTGTACATGTGTATGCTGTAGTTTTTTCATTTCAAATTATAGTTTACTTTGGTTTCATTCCAAGTCAAACTTCTCAGAGTTTGACTAATTAAGTTTCTAAGAAAATTAATATAATAACATTTATAGTTTAAAAAAATACGCTGTCAAAATATATTTTATGAAGGATTTAATAAAACTAATTTCATATGGTAGATGTTGCATTTTTAGTGCAAGCGATAGAGTCTTACCACCTGTGACTGAAAAGTCCCGGGTTCAAGTCGTGGTCTCCTCGCATTGCACAGGCGAGGGTAAGACTTGCCACTGACACCCTTCCCCAGACCCCGCACAGAGCGTGAGCTTTCTGCACTGGGTATGCCCCCTTTTTTTTACTTAGGATAAAAATAAAGTGAACTATAGTTTAAAACAGAGAGAACACAGTTGTGTTGTGTCTAAAGGATAAACACGTTAGGCACGTCGTTACTTGGTCATATATCAAAAAGGCTAGCTAGCTTGTTAGCATCTAAAGTGTCGTTCGTTTTAAATTACAAATCGTTCTTATTTAGATAGATATATAATATAATAAAAACTATATGTTAAAAAAATAAAAGCAATTTGTATAATTTGGAATGAATATTGTAGCGCTTATGAGCTGCATGTGTTGCAAATCGTGGCGGCAAAATAGGAACACGTTGTGGCGTGGCACGTATGCAGGCGGCCAGCTATAATAGTGCTGCAGCATGCACCTCGTTGCTCTGCTCTGTTGCATGCGGCCACATCAGAGGACGGCCAAAGTAGGTGTTGCATGCATGGCAGGCACTGACCGGGATCCGGAACTACCCGGCGTCGCGCGTCGGCGAGAAGAAGAGAACACAACACACATAAAATCCATCAGAGTTTTATGGACATTAAATAGACTGATGTGGCACCGTATTAATGAAAAGAGAGATGATAAGAGTTTCATGGAAGTAGAGAGAGTTTCATGAGAATGAAACTCTTCTACACTATTTTCAAAATATAGATGCATTGATAACAGGGTCACGAAATCAACCAACAAACACGTACATACGGCGGTAAAATCATGTCGACCACCGCCATTATTGATGTGCATGCATCATGTGTAGGTAGCTAAGCTAGTAGCTAGGTCGTCGTGCTGCTAGCTAAGCTAGTTCCCCTGCCCGGGGCTTGGTACGGACCCCAACACCCGCGACGCCGCATTCCAACGCGCCGCCATCCTCCTGCCGCCGAACTCCAGCGATCCTCGGAGCCCGGTCGTCGTCTCCGTTGGAACCATCTCCTTTGTTGCCTGCACCCTCCGCGAAGTACGGCGGCGTCCCCCCGCCGGCGCGTGGTAGATCGGTAACAGGCAGCACCGTTGTCGACGCCGCTAGCTGCGGCTGCGCACGGAGCCGACGCCAGAAGCATCACGGCAGGCGTGAAGAAGAGGAGGCCGAGCACCGCCACTCCGCAGCTGCACGCGGCCATCTCTCGATCTGTCTCTCTTGCTTGATCTCGGATCGTATCTTCTTTATCTCTCACGAGAACTCTGAGCGTGCGTGTTTTTCTTGGTCCAAGGCAGCGCGAGCTCGTGTGGGAGGATTTCGAGGGGACGTAGGGAGGGTTTTATATCGCACGAGAGGGCCGGGTACGTGGTTGCTGCAGCCGTGCATGCTGCCGCTAGCTGCGGCCGGTCGGTTACTTAGTGATAAAAATTAGTAGCTGACTAAGCTAGTATATTCACAGTTAATTAATAAGTAGCCAGCTAATTTCAACTAGCTAACTATTAGCTGGCTACTTATTACTCTAGTTCAGTGTTGTTTGAATCGGTGGAAGGATTTTTCTAATTGCTATTGGAAGGGTACGTGGACTAAGGTAGGTAGACGGGTAAAAATGCTATTTTATAATCAATTGGCTGATACTAAGTAGATTGGAACAACTAATGATATATTTTCTTCGTTCCAAATTAGAAGTCGTTTTAAGTTTTATAGATCCATTTTTACTGTATATTTAGATATACACTATGATATATAATAAAAACAATGTATTTAAAAAACCCAAGACAGTTTTGGGGTAACTTTTACTTAAAAACCTGTCATGTGGA